TTCGTTGATTTTATTGATTTATATAAAAATAATAATTTTTTTAATTAAATGAAGAAAAAATTAGGTTAAAGGGTCAAATAGGCCCTCGAACTAACTTAAAAAGTGCAATTCACCCCTTATATAGGAGGTTCTATCCGGATGTCGCCAATTGGGGTGGTTCTCGGTGGAATTTTTTGATGATTTTTTTTGACAATCTTCTTCATTAAGTATAGTTTACCCATACCAAATTTCAGATAAATATTCAATCGGGAAGATAGTCAAATGATTTTCTGAAATGTTCTGCGCTGTTTAACTGCGTTGTTATCTTCAAAAATTCATTTGTCTGCCTTGCCGATTGATTTTTTAGCTGAAATTTGGTATGAGTAAACTAGACTTAATGAAGAAGATGCTCAAAAAATTTCATCAAAAAATTCCACCGGGAACCGCCCCAATTGAGGATGTCCGGACAGAGCCTCCTATACAAGGGGTAAATTGCACTTTTTAAGTTAGTTCGAGGGCCTATTTGACCCTTTAGCTAAAAAATTATACTACGTACTCTGTATGAAAAAATAGCTAAAATCATCATCTATAGTAACTTCAACCAATACAGTCAGAAAAGAAACTTCAACCTTATTTTTATTATTATTATTATACAATCTCGCGCATGCACGTGAAATCAAAAATTACGTATTTGATTAAAAAAAATGTCGATAAGCATGATGACCCGAAAAATAGAGTCACCAAGTGACCAAACTGCCTCTAAATTCGGATTGCCCCCCGCTTGCTCCTGCTCAAGTGAATGCATGAAATCAAATAAAATATAAATATAGGAAAAATTATTGTCAACTAATCTTCAACCTGCTGGTCCTGCCTACAGGCGTACATTTCCTTAATTTTCTTTTTTGCACTTCTCTTTCACTATATATATATGGATGGAGTTAGCTAGCAAGTAGTAATTTAATGTCCTTACTCTTTTCTTGGGCGGCTTCAATTCATTGCCGGTGACTCTTCCATCTTCTACTCAATTCAAAAGCAATACAGTATATAAATATCATGTCCGCACGTAATGAACGAGTCTTAATTATTCAATCACATGCATGCAAAATCAGCAGGTTCCTAGGCTGAAACCTATTACCGCCGGCCATACACATACATTTCCGGCAGACTTCCTCGCCGCGGCCTTCAACTCTCAGGTTAGTCACAAATGAATTTTTCAAATAAAAAAAATGTTTATTTTATGAATTCATGCTCTTCAATTCTAAGTACTAATGGTTTATCAGGGTATAACTCAATGTAGGAAAATGTTATACGGAGTACATACTCGTATGAACTACATAAGTTTATTTAATACTTTGCGTAGTACGTAGCTAGTACATCTTTTAAGTGTACCGTACCAGGTTTTCTAAATGAGAGAAATGTTCAAAGTAAGATAATTAAGAAGGTTTTCTTCCAAAAGTAGAACATATATACCTTATTAATGGATTGAAACAAGAAAAAAAACTAAAATAGGAGTGGATGAATGATTTGAAACAGAAATAATAACTAGGATTATGATTAAAAGATGTGGTGATTACTAAAATACGACTACATAATTTTCCCTACTAAGATAATGGTATTTTGATTGTATGGATTCTATGGAAGTGCTTTTGATGCAATTCAATTTTTACCCCTTCAATCTAATTATTACTCATATAAATGTATGTTTAAGTTTGCTAATTATTACTCCGTAAATATTAAGAATTTGTAAGTGCTTTAATCACATTTAAATAAATTTCCTTTGAATATTAAAGAAGCTAGACAATGATCCACACTCTTACTATTTCAAAAACCATATACGATAGTATTTTAGGTTGTATCTTCAATTCTTCATGTATCTTCAATTCTTCATCTTCATTTTCTGTGTGTTTTGTATGTAAAAATTTAGTACAAAAAAATTATTGAACTTTTTTGTACCGGTCAATTCTAACGTTTTGAAGGCCCCGCTCCTGGTTCCTTTCTTAGGGAGTGTTTGCATTTGATTAAAAAAAGTGCTTTTCAGCTTTTGGCTTAAAAAAAGTTAAAAAGAGTGTTTTCAAATGACAGCTTCTGCTTAAATTAATCACTTAAAAACTAAAAGCTGGAAGCAGGTGGAAGGGTGCTTTAAACTGCTTTTCACTTTTTCTATTACACAAAAAGTACTTCTTTTACCAAACACTACCAACTTTCACTTTTTCAGAATCACTTTTTCTTCAAACACTACCAACTTTTACTATTAATCACTTTTCCCAAAATCACTTTAAAAAATCACTTCTTTAAAGGTGAAGCAATTGCAAACACTCCCTTAGGTTGGTACAATTCATTGTTCCATTGGTTGGGCCCAATGAAGGAGCCAAAACTATATTATTAGGGAGTGTTTGCAATTGCTTCTGTTTAAAAAAAGCATTTTTGGAGATATAAGGAAATAGTGATTAGTAATAAAAGTTGATAGGATTTGAGAAAAAAGTGATTTTGAAAAGTAAAAGTTGGTAGTGTTTGGTAAAATAAGTGTTTTTTGTGTAATAGAAAAGGGAAAAACACTTTTCACACGCACACCGAGAAAAAGTAAAAATTGGTAGTGTTTGATAAATAAGTGCTTTTTAAGCCACAAGCTGAGAAGTGTTTTTTTAAGTTGTTGCAAACACTCCCTTAGGCGGCCGGAGTTTAAATATTTTATATTGCGCGGCCAAATCACTTAAAACGCATTCCCGTCCCATTATAATTGTCTTTTTTTTACATTTTTCGTCCGTTTCACTAAATTTGTCTCATATCATATTTGATAATGTTTGTGTGATTCTAATTACGTTTACTTTATTTTCACTTTATCAACTCATTATTAACCACATAACTTTATTTTTTCTTAAAAATCACAGAACTCTTTTTAACCCAATATTAGAGAGACAGACGAAGTACTATACCTTTTATAGATTAAAAGTAGTTTTTCATATATATGCATTAAAAATCTCGGGGGCCTCGACCCATCCAGCCCCTGTATCCACTCCTAATTGGGCCTCTGCTAACTAATCAGTGTTAAAATAAAAATATACTCCGTATGTTGTAAACTTGTAATCTGTAAAAAAATGCTGTTTATATTCTTGTTTGCGTACATATACAATTTGTCCAAAAAACATCTATGCACGTACCGAGACAATTTATCCGCTTTTGGCCAAATTATATACTCTGTATGTATGTACACACTTTGTTTTAAAGTTAAAGTGAGTGTATATATATTTTCATAACTCATCATTTTGCATAAAATACATGAAGATCCAATGTGCTATGCGCGCCATTTGATAATGCTGCCACTACATACCCACTAGATCATCACTACACCGGTATGTAGTTTTTGGACAATTAAGCCATGTTTGGTATGTCGTAATCACCCATGTAATTTAATAAGCATTACATGTTGATTCGAATAGGATATTTGGTATGTGATTTTATCTTAAACCGTAATGTAATTGGCATTACATATGTAAAACTCATTACTCTAACATGTGTAATATAAGCTTTACATTATATAAGCTATGTATTTAAGATTACAACTTATACAATGTATTTGAGAGTAAAAAACATACACCCTATACTCCCGCCCCGCCCATCCAGAAGAAAGGGTTGAGGAGTTTTCAAATGGCGTCAATTTGATATTCTTCCTCCAGCTCCACCGAAATACTTCGTACAAATCTAATTTGTAAATTCCCAGGCTTCATTTTAATTGAAAATCATTTTAATGTAACTTTAAATTGCAAACGATTGATTACATCGTCTAACTTTACATGTAGATAAACAAACATAATTATGTAATGTTGATTACATTTCAAAGTTGTTATTACTTAAGTAACTAAACATAATAATGAAATAGAAACTCAATTCATTACATTACATTTTGTATTGCATTACACACATCATTCCATTTCATTGCATTACTTCATACATTCCATTTCATTGCATTACTTCATACCAAACATAGTCTTAGTTGATTTTTGAACAAATTATGTCTGTACACACTACATAGTACACATATAGGACTATATATAGGAGTGTACACAAAAGTGTACACAACTCTAGCCTTTTTTTGGGTAAAAAGTAAAAACTCTAGTCCCTATATTTGTTACTTCGTATATATCAACAAAACCGCGCTAGTAGAACTGCGATGAAATGTGAGTAAAAATTTGGACTTCCAATGGGTGAGATCGAATGAAGTACATACGGATTCCAATTGCTTTAGAACGTAGTATAAAGTAATAAAGTAAAAATTTTATGATACAATTTTTGTGACATATATATATCTAACTTTAGTTTAGAGTAGTGTATCTAGCTAAAGAAAGTTGTTCAAAATAGGAGTAAACGAGCTTTGAACTCCAAAATTTGATTGCTATGTTTTTCTTTCCGAAATATGAGTCGTTATTATCATGATTGAAAAATGCTCACATTAATAATACTCCATCCGTCTCCTTAACTTTGTCTCGTTTTACCTTTTTCGTTCGTCCCATTAAGTTTGTCTCATATCATATTTGGTAATATTTGAATAGTTACAATTCATTCTTACTTTACTCGCACTTTATCAATTCAATATCAATCATACAATTTCACTTTTTCTTGAAAGTTGTGTCACACCCTTTTGTCCCAAATATAGAGGGGTAGAAGTAGAACGGAGTAGAAAATAACTTTTTTTGGTTGAGAGTAGTAAATAACTTAACAATTCTATTTTGAAATTGAAAAATTTATTTATTCCTGTTTTAGAAAGTTTCTCTCCCACCTAGCTACAGGATATGATGCTTCGGCTCGCCTTTCCAAAACCTCATGATATGCCTAACCATATCATTTCAGTGATCAAATTTGCAACGTTGTTTTGGTTAAATTAAAGAAAAATGCTAAAGGCACCCCAACTTGTACCCCATTTTATACCCCCATCCCTATTTTGTGGTCACAATTGGAGCAATACTTTTAAGTGGGGCAACACTTTTAAGTGTGGCCTCATTTGGATCACACAATGTGTGGTGTAAGAATGGGGTACCCCAAAATGGGGTACCTCTAGCACGGTTGATCATTAAATTACTGGCACGATTTATTTATTTTTTCTTGATTTAAAACAATATACTACGTAGAATTTTATTTTAAGCAGAATAAAAGTACACCATTCAGATCACATAGAAAAGATCACCTCTTGTAATTCTGACAGGAACCGCCATCCAAACTTGTCTATTTGAGAGACTTTCATGTGGTATTTTTTATGAAGTTTTGTGAGCATATTCTTAATTAAGTGTAGATGATGCCCACATAATTTCAGCTTAAAATTCCATCGGGAAGCCAGATAAATAAATTATTGAAAAACACTGCATTATTATAATTTTTTGAATAATTTATTTAACTGACTTCTCGAACGAATTTTGCACTGAAAGGGTATGGACATAATATATAGTTGATGAAAAATATGCTCACGAAACTTCATCAAAAATTCCACTTGAAAGCCCCCACCAAATAAACAAGTTTGAATGATGATTCCCGTTACTCTTTGACCCGGCATTTATGGTTGAAAACCATCACCCAATCCATGAGCACTACTAAAGGGAAAACTCGACTGATGATCATGCAGTTGAGCAGCAAATGGATAAGTAGTAACCAAGCTGGGCTGATGATGATGATCATGACCAAAACTTGATGATGATGATGGTGGCACCATAATGTCATGATGATGATGATGATCAGGTGGTGGCTGGGCATCAGTGATCAACAAATCTTCGTTGATCAAAGAGTTCAAGAACACATACTCATCCGTGCAACAATAATTCATTATCCCAAGATGATCCCCACTCATACTCAAACAATCAATGTTATTGTTGCTATCATTATTTTTTACGGCGGAGTACTCAAGAGGAAGCGGTGGTGGAGGAGGAGGAGGAGGAAGGCGGTGCTGTTCTTGATCATTAATAATGCTGTTGTTGCTGCTTATCTTTAGGGTAGTGGAGGGAGCAAGGTAAGACACGGGGGGCGGATCAGGTGACGGCGTGGCGTGGTGGTGGTTATTGGCAGCGGGACGGCCGCCGCCGCCGTCTGTGGTGGTTATGAGAGGCCGGTGAGTTCTTGGGTCAATTCCTTGGCTGATAAGCTTCTTGCTAAGGTGAGTGTTCCAGTAGTTTTTTATCTCGTTATCCGTACGCCCTGGAATCCTTCCCGCTATCAATGACCACCTGATTATTACCAAATATATACACATTTCATTTAGGGGTAATTTGACTTTACACAACATTTTATTGTTTAAATTGGATTTTTCCACTCCATTTTTAAGATTTTTTTTTTGCACCTCAACCTCATATGAAATGACAAAAATGCCCTTCATCAGAAATATTTTGAAGTCCAACAAAATTGTTAATGGAGGGGCATTTTTGTCTTTTCATATGTGGTTGGAGTTCAAAAAATCAAAAATTTTCAAAACGGGATGCAAAATCTAATTTGCACAATAAAATGAGACGCAAACTCAAATTACCCATTGTATTTATGCAAAGGATCACTTAAGAAATGGCTTAAGAGCATCTACAATGGTAGCTTTGCTTGCCACATCATTTTTTCTAGCTAATCCATGTGTTATTCCAATGATTAGCCATATTGCTTGCATCTTAAATAGGCTCCATAAATCAATCAATGAATTGATTTATTAATTTAATATTTTGTTGAAATATTTTCAAATCTATTAAAAAGTTGAATTGACAAGGAAACGTAACCAAACTTTTAACAAATGGATCAAGTTGGTCGTCAACTATGATTTTGACCAAACATTAATCTAGCGCTCAACATTAAGAACCCTTTTGGTAACACTGAAATCAGTTGAATCGCCTGATTCTGCTGAAATGTATGAAGTTCTGGCTGAAGTGGTTGTATTGGCTGATTCTGCTTATTTATGAAAAAGTTATATTTAAAATATATTTTATTAAAAAAATAAAGAAAAAATAATATGAAAAATAGCTAAATGGTCATCTAGAGTAACTTCAACCAATACATCCAGAAAAGTATCTTCAACTTTACTTTTTCTTATAATTACGCAATTCAGCACGTGAAATAAAAAATTACGTGTTTCATTAAAAAGTTCGCTGATAAGCCTGATAAGCCGAAAACAGACTCATCAAATGGGCTCTAAGACGGCAAGGTTGAAAATGCAAATTATTAAAATTAGTATAATAACATGTATTTTGTTAAGTAAAAGAATAAGGAATATCAAATTTGACAACACATACATATAGAAAAATATCAACTTTTGCTTAAATATTTCATAGCCCTCCATTTGAAGACCTTACACATGAAAAATAAGAGTACGTAGTGGCAAAAGAGATGGGGTAGGCGTTGAGAAAATATTGTATAACTAAATTTTCAAAGCATTATCTACATATAATAACGGTATGAGATTAAAATTACTTTGAATTAATTTAATATATCAATTATAAATAAATTACATATATTTGGTAATTACCATTTTAAATCAAATTTATCTCCTTTCTAGCAATTAGCTTGTTTTGGCTAATTTGCTTGCCCAAGCTAGAAGGATATATGCACTTCAATGGTAGGCAAGTAGCTTGGAAATTGCAAGCAAGTCTCTAAAAGAAACTATTGGAGATACTCTTAGGATTAAAACATTGATACAGTTCTGAAATGAAGTAAGATTAAGTATGTTTTGATTCCAAAATGCTACGTATGACTATTTTTTTTCTTACTAAAAGAATACTACTGGTAGTACATTATTAAAAACATCCCAAAATAGGAGTAAATAAATCATATTTATAGAATACTTCAAATAAATAAAGTCATATTTATAGAAGAAAACACCGAGAGTACTCCTCTTTGAGGAATTGTATGTGGTCTAAAACGAAATGACCTGAAATATGAGTATAAAATCTGTTTATACAACTGGTCTAAAACAAAATAGCTAGGGCTATTTTTCTTTAATAGTCCTTGATTGTACACTTGAACACGACTGTTTCATTTAAATTGAAATTCACACATTCATATTGAATACTAGTATGAGATTATCAAATACATTTAATTAGCCTGTAAAGGACAACAAACAATACTCCCGGGGAGAGCTGGTGTCTGTAACAAGATTTTAAATATAAATTGTATAAGATCGAGAAGAGTACTACTAATACAGTAAGGACGAATAGGTATAAGTTTAATTAGAGTTATTTTTTGGCCCGCTTAGTTTAGGAAAATTTACCTAAATGTGACTAAAACATTCATAGATACCTAATGTATGACTAGCAAACTTAAACATGACTCTACTTGAGTAATACTTGAATTCAAAAGAGTAAAAGTAGCATCAAAACACATATCACCTTCTCTTCTAGGCATACATAAATTAATTTTCTCTTTTGTTTAAGTCTAGTCTGAATTGGTCTAGTTTGATAAAGGTTCGTTTTGAAGTTACTATATGCTATGAAATCTCTTGAATAGTGAAATAAAAGTTAATAATAATAAGAATCAAATGAGAAAATAAGAGAATAAAAGGAATTAGAAAATTAATGAAGAACACTACATAGAAGGACATAAAGAGGATAATAATAATGAACATATATTATACTCCCTCCGTCCCTGAATGTTGCTCCAATTGCGGATTACGAAGGTTGACCGACGATAAAGTTAAATGATCCCTGTGAAAACTCGGATTATTTTTAGTAAATAAAATTTACATATTCAGAAACTACATTAAACCCGCTACAAAGCCTGCAAAAAAAAATCAAATTTCATAAAGTTTTGATACAAAAAGTAAGAGTTTAAGATTGATTTAAGTTGACTCTCGAAAAGCGAAATGGAAGTAAATTTAGGGACAGAGGGAGTAATAGGTTTAGAAGGCCGAATTCTCCAAAAAAAGAGGATAATAATGTATATCCATACATCAATCTCACCTAAAGATTTTTGCTCATAATTTAATTTGTTCTCTTGATCAATTAGCATTCTTTTACTTCGTAATACTCCCTCCGTCCCAGAATTAACTTCGGTTTTGACTGGGCACGGAGATTAAGATAGTGGGAAATGTGTGGTGGAGAGTTGTGCAGAGGAGAGAGAAATGTGTAAGAATGGTTGTGAACCACAAATCCTTTGCTAAAAAGGGAAAGAGAAGATAAATTTGGGACGGATCAAAAAGGAAAGAATGAAGATAATTATGGGACGGAGGGAGTATTTATTTTTACTAACTTCGTTCAAAATTGGTTTGCAAAATCAATATTAAAGTTTAATCTTCCCTATTAATAATTAATTCAATTTTAATCATTAAAAATTACATAATAAGAATCTACATTAAAATATCAATAAATCACAAAATTCAAATTAGAATCTAATTAAAAATTGATATCCTAATTAAGTGATTAATATGAAGCAGTTTGATTCAAATAAGTTGAATTTTCAAATTAATTTGCAATGGATGGAGTATTTAATACGAAGTAAAGTTTTATTAAATTCTTTTTAGAACTGAACGAATCTCTTAGAACACTTATTAAATACGAAGTATGAAAATTAAATTGTTAATTTTGAATTAAAAACTATTATATTACTCTGTGTCTCTATGAAATAAATAATTTTATCATGAGTCGCATATCATAAACTCAAATATGTATATACTTCGTATAAACATTAATTTTATGTGGGTAGATCTGCATGCGCGCGGTAGAATATACTCCTAATTTATTACGGAGTAATAGCTATGGATGATTGGATGGTCATGAGAATATAAAAACAATATAGTACATGCGGAGTAATTCCTTACCCTAGTTAGGAAAAAAAGATTAATTACTTTCTTGAAGGCCATTAATTTCAGATGATCTTCTAAAGAAATTAATTAATGTGGGAAGCCAAATCGATGAAGGGGTAGCTAGCTAGCAATTCAAGCACTACTTCTACGTACTACACCATACCTGTTGCCTAGGAGGCGGTGGAGGCGGATGATGAGATCCTCCTCGTCGGCGGCGATGTGGCCGCGCTTGACGGAGGGGCGGAGGTAGTTCATCCACCGGAGGCGGCAGCTCTTCCCGCACCGGAGGAGTCCCGCCTTCTTCGGGAGGGTTCTCCACCGCCCCTCGCCCTCCCTCTTCACGTACTCCGACAGCACCTCGTCCTCCTCCGGCGTCCACGGCCCTCTCTTGAGCCCCACCTTGGCGCAACACGGCGTCGTCTTCAGCTTCGTCGCCGTTCCTCTCGACGACGACGAGGACGACGCCCCTCCGGCGGCTTTTGTCGATGGCTGGCTTCTCATTTTCTCTCTCTAGAATTAGCTAGGTTTAACTTGTTCTTTCTTTAACTTTTTTGAATTCCGTTTGTGAATAAATCAGGAGATGGAGAGAAAATGGTGATATAGAGATCGATGGATAGATGATGTCTTTTTCATGGGATGGCTTTCAGGCACCCGTGTAAACTTAGGTCGCTAGTCATCTCATCTGCTAAGGCATTGCCATTGTCATATATTGCCTTAGCCATTTGCTTACTTTCTTCGAGTTAATTAGGTCTTAGGTGCGACCATATTTAGTTAATTATTGTTCTTAAGAACGTAACACCTGTTTAAATTACTTGTTTTAGTTTCACACAAGCTAAGATCCAAATGTGAGTATGGTTATTTTAATGCCATCTTTTAACCAACACCACACATATCATTAAAACAAAATAATAATGCACAATGTAATGAAAAGATTTATCATTATATTACACATTCGATCATTCTTATTGGAGGATGTAATCTTATTGGAGAATGGAAGTTATTTTTAATTAGACTGTAATTTGTTGTTATGATGATCTAGTTTGAATTGAAATTAGTCCTTAAAAACATTCTAAATTTGAATGTATGTAAATTATGGATTTTAAGTTTGAACAATATTGTGCTTGTTTGAAAGTTTGGAGAATAATTTGTTAGAACAGCAGTCAAATTTACTCCATACACATGTAGATATATAAAACTCGTGCTATATAGAAAAATAGAATTGAACTTTTTTTAACTTATTGTGTATTCAATGTTTTTTTTAGAACTCCCTAAATAGGACTAAAATAAGGTAGAATTGCACAAACAAGACTACTACTACGTACTACGTATGATTTATTGCACAAAAGAGGAGTAATAAGAGCTAATTTGACAAAACTATCCTTAATGAAATAAAACTTAAAAATCTCCCAGGCGTGCGTTTCCTGGATGGGTTTTGACGTCGCCGACACCAACACTCCCGGTCCAAAAAAACTATTGAGTTGCCATTCATCAGCATGTTTACCTCCGCGCAGCACTTCTGCGAGGCCGCCGCTGCCAAACAAGTTCTGCATCGGCCATTGCAAAATCCCAAGTTTCATAGGTCTTGTAGGCCTCCAATGAGAATGCCAATTAAGAATAATGACATGATGATGGAAGATAATGGCAAATGATGGAATTTTTTAGATGAAAAATAATGGCAATTTAAGGATGAAAATTCTAACATCATTTGGAAAACATGTCAAAAAAGATGTCATTTCTAATAACAAGTAGTTATGTCATTCTCAAATAAGCCATAAAAATGCCCTAAATTGCCATAAGAATGACATTTTCTAATGGACATGACATTTTAAGATTGTCATCATGATAAAATATACTATCATAAACGTGGCAGTTTTTTCAAATAACCAATAATTTTGACATTCTCAGATGATAAAAGTGGCATTTTGCTGAATAAATATAATTTAAATCCAAAAATGTCATTTTCTCTAAGAACAAGTAGTTATGTCATTCTCAGGTTTGAAATTAATCAAAATAATAAAAATCAAATTCAAATGTTTCTGTGTTCATTCGTTGAAACCTAGCTCTTTTCTGATATTTTTAGATCTAAATTTCATTTAAAATGTGAAGTTGACAAAATAGAAGAGTCAAACAAACAAAAAACAAAACAGAGGACGAGAAAGATGGGAGGAAGAAGGAGATGCGGCCGTGTGACTAATGGAGATTCCGGCGTGAGTAGAGGAGTGTGGCCCTGAGGTTCCGACGTGAGCAAAGGAGAGTGGCTAATCCGGCTATGAAGGGTCAATTCAATCGCATGCTCACAACTATGGAGCTTCTTGTGCGGCCGGATGAGCTATACGTAGTATTTGATGCTTCTGTTGAGAGTTAGAACACATCAAATGAGATTCCCCCAACTTACAACACATCGGGTAAATAAAGAGCATCATCGCACCATAGAAGCAAATCAGTCTCCAAACTAGCTCGCTTGCATTTAAACAAACTTTTCAATCCATGTTATTTGCCTGAGAACTTGTCACATCCACCTCAACGCTCCAGCCCAACGCCAAGCTGCCACTCTTCCCTTCACTATTCGTACGATTGTACCGCAGCTATTCCAGTTCCGAAGAGATCGAAGTATCTCCTTCACTCGGTGGCATCGTAGCTTTGTCTCCATAAGAAAAATAATAGAGGGGCGATGTGCTAGCTTGGACAATACCCGTAGCCCTTGCTTGAGATATAGACATGTTTTCCAAACCCCTACAGTTCCAACTCTTAACACAACGAAAAATAAAAACCCTAAATGCCTAAACTCGATTACATTTTTAAAACGTTTATGGAATATATACATTAAATAATACATGTATAAAATCTTAGATGAAACGGTCAACATTTCACACTTGTCAACGCACGTCTTTGACCGTAATTATATCTTAATCTCTATTAGTAAAAAATGTTTAAAAATTAGATTTTGAAAATTTGTAATAAGATGAATTGAACAATATTTTTTTAAAAAATAATTTTCATAAAATAATACTATAAAATGTAGCCAAAGTAGTATATGTGAATAGTGTAAAATTCAACATGTTGCGATTACACAATTAAAAATAGTAATAGTGTAATTGTATCATCCATAAAAAGTGTGAAGTAAATCATCATTGTATAATAAGGATGACAACAATGCATGAGGTGAAAAAGCCAATTGTGAGGTAGTCACCATCATGGATGCTCGGAGTACAATTGATACAAAGGATTCAGTCACACAACTAGGTATGAACCCGATATGTCCCATCCCAGACCGGTTGGTCCCGATATGTGAAATGTGAAGCCCGGAACTTTCCCGGTTAAGTCCGGGTTTGGGCACGTTCCGGTCCTGAATCGATCCCAGTCCCGTTATATTTTATTTTTGATTAAAGGGTCAAATAGGTCCTTGTACCGGTCGTGTAAGCTCAATTAAGTCTCTGAACTAAAAAAAGATCCAATTCGCACCCTGAACCGGTAAAAATGGTTCAAATTTCATTTTTTACAAGTAAAAAAACCAGTAAAAAAAGGTCCAATTTGCACCCTTAAACTATTAAAAAGTGTCAAAATTGCTATAAATCGAAAATAAAACACAAAAACAATATAAAAAACAAAAAAGTGACCGGTTGTTTACTCGTATAAAATGAAATTTGAGCCATTTTTTGTCGCTTCGGGAGCGAATTGAACCTTTTTTTGTTCAGGGACTGAATTGAGCTTACACGACCGTACAAGGGCCTATTTGACCCTTTAACCTTTATTTTTTTCGTTTTCAAGACAAAAAATGGCTGATCCAAGACTGGAACCGGACTGAGCCGGCGAGCCCATACCTATTCTCAAGTGAGGGAGTGTTTGCGATTGCTTCTGCTTTAAGAAAGTTATTTTTAAGTTAATTTTGCAAAAAGTGATTTATACTAAAAGTTGATAGTGTTTGACCAAAAAAAGTGCTTCTAAAAAAGTAAAAGTTTGTAGTGTATAAAATAAGTGTCTTTTATGTAATACTCGCTTCGTCTCTTATAACTTTGTCAACTTTCCCTTTTTTGATGTCCCATTAACTTTGTTACTTTCCCTTTTAAGTAAAGAATTTGTGGTTCCAGTTAATTATTTCTCCTCTGCACAAATCTCAAACACACAGTTTTTACTTTATTAATCCTCGTGTCGGTCAAACTTGGCAAAGTTATTAGGGACGGAGGGAGTAGAAAAAGTGAAAAACAGTTTAAAGCCTCCATCAATCTGCTTCCAGCTTTTAACTTTTAGGTGCTTAATTTAAGTAGAAACTGTCACTTGAAAACACTAATTTCAGCTTTTTAAAAGTCAAAAGCTGAAAAACATTTTTTCTTGCAAACACTCCCTGAGTCTTTGACGTGCACTTTGTCGTGAGTGCAATCAAAGTAAATTCAATACAACACTTATACGTAGTATAGTGAAGTAGAGTTCGTATCCACAGGGAAAGGAATAACTTTCTTTTTATGAATATAGTAGATAAAGGGGGGTTTTGTTTGTTGAGTGATTTAATTAATTTAAACACGAAGATGAACGAGTTATATGAGATTAAATTCAAGAATAAAAGGGACTTGGTCTTGCTACTTTCCACTTGTTGATATATTTTAGTCGATCATTGTTATATTCATAACTTATCCCCTCTCGAATACTCAATCGCGGAGTATAACCAGTTCATCGAGGGTAGTTATTAACAACGACCGTTCATTAATAACCCTTACTATTAATCAAATATAGAACAACGCCGTATACCGATATAATAGTAGCATTTAATCTCTTTAACTCCTTGATGAAATCAATTGAGATTGATAACCTCAACGCAACGGTTTTGGTTTAACCAACAAAATTGATCCCTCTTAAGTTTATTAACCACGACCGTGCATTAACAAACCGAAGTTACTTACTTGTGAAACCTTCAACGTTTAACCATCGGTTCATTGAACGTTTCTAAGAATAATCAATGTTGGAACGTTAACTAATCGTCACTTAGCCACCCTCCAACAATGATATAGAATGAGATTAAGGGAAGAATTAATAATCAAGAGGAGAAAGTAAGAAAATAACTCACAACTTTAATAATCAATCAAGCTTCAAGAGCAAAACCAAGAAATGGAAGTTTAGCTCCTCATTTGGAGACTAAACATGCTAAAAGAAATATAGAGAAATGCTATTCTAGACTGAGCTTAAGAGTATAAAGGAATTTGGTATCTAAAAGTGAAGGAAAGGAGGTGTATTTATAGGCTTTTTGAGGTGCAGGATCGAGTACTCGATCGAGTATGTATACATACTCGATCGAGTATGTATAGAAATCAGAATTTGGTCAATACTCGATCAATACTCGAGTAGATTTTATGTGCATACCCGATCGAGTATATATGCATACCCGATCGGGTATAGACACTCAAACGTGGGAAGATCTTCTCCTGCATGTTCCTTTGTTTTCGGATCCGATCCGATTTGAAATGTCAACCAGATACCCGATCGAGTATATGAATATACTCGACCGAGTATAGACCAAAGTCAGGATTTTTCCTTCTTTTGTCTTGTACTCTTGCACCTTCCTTCACCATTGATCATTTGATTGATCTTGGACCTGTTTAAGCTCAGAATAAACCTAATCTAAACAAATTACAAGAATTTAACAAACTACACTATTACACCGAAAGTGTGTAATTTCCGAGATATTAAACAATCAAAACTAACTAAAAACGTAAATAAACATACGGAAATTACAAACGTATCAACTCCCCCACACTTAGTTCTTTACTCGTCCTCGAGTGAAGTCAAATATTCAAACAGTTTAAGACCATTCCATGAGTTCAAGAAAGAAATGAACTAAGATCACCAAGAAATAAGAAATGATTTTACAAACAACATTCTCTCTTGGGTTTTATGATCTTCTATGCTCCATCTTCTTGACTCTTCTTCCTCTTCTTCTCTTTTTTTTTTTTTTTTTTTTGTTTCTCCTTTTTCTCCCCAAAAGATCAAGTGAGTTCCTGCACACAGAAAAAATATTCCTCTCATATCTCTCATTTTGCCTAGGAGCCTTTTCAGGTTTTC